GTACACCTAACCCTTTCTTTCTGCCCTAATGAGAAAATGTAATTGCCATGGATTGAATGAGATAACCAAATGCGAATTTGCAAAGTGTTTAGGATGTATAGTCGTGCTCTGTCTTTCAAGAATTGGTATATTTGAGCTTTTTGTGTGAGTGTTCGTTGTGTGGGCACGCATAAATATATTCCACTAGGGGAATTAGTTAAGCAACTTATGATTAATTTACTGGATAAATTTGTTAAAAAACGGATATTTTATCAGTCTTTATAAATGATATGTTTCAATGAATGTAAATGCTTCACGGAAAAAAAAGAATGAGGAGGAAAACCACTATTGTGGTAATCGTAACCCTATTGCAAGGCAACATACGGCAACTAAGGTTGTCATCTTAGGAGCCTTAGGAGCCTTAGAGGCAACCGTAGGATTTTGCAAAATACCGATGAAAACCGGGATAATGAAATGCCTCTTTTTTTTCCAAAAAACTTGTATACCAATTTCAAATTTACTTTCACAGTCATAAAGTCGCATTTCATGTAGGATTTTGCAAAATACCAATAACAACCGGGAGAATGAAATGCCTCTTTTTTTTTTCCAAAAAGCTTGCGTTCCAATTTTAAATTTACTTACACAAGATCATAAAGTCGCATTACATGTAGGATTTTGCAAAATACCGTTGAAAACCGGGATAATGAAATGCCTCTGTTTTATCCAAAAAGCTTGTATTTCAATTTTAAATTTACTTTCACATAACTGCACCTGTAAACAATCTCCATTTACAGGAAACCATTTCATTAAGGAAGGAGATTTCTAGCATCGGGCTTAAGTTCCTGTTTATTCCGGCTTAAGCTGTCGTTTCAACCCTTCTCTGCCGGGTAATTAACTCTCTCCACTCTGGAGTAAATGAGAAAAACGAAACTCTCTATCTTTGTCTAAAATTAAATAGTTTTCATTTAAGTAGCTCGTTAAAATTTTGAAGTAATACTCCATTCTTGGCGGAGCGAAAAACAATTAATTTTGATTGGAATTAATACATTTAGTACAATACTCAATATAATTCGACACAGCGGCTAATATAAAAACAAACGTAGGTATTTAGAAAAATCTTTTCTACCGACGTCGAAGTTCCTTGACGTGTTTCACTTCACCTTAAAATGCGTAATTAGATTTAAAAGTTCGATGCAAGACAGGTCATACGAAAATGGAAATTAAAAGCAAAGACAAACATATCGAGATGAAATATTTTCGCAGAGAGATTTCAATTGCGCGACGAGAATCTCCGTACATATGGGGTCGCCTTTACGAGGAGGTTTTTCGAATTGAATATGAAGAGGTTTTTCGAATTAAGTCCAAGGGTGAAATCTGCCCTCATTTTTCCAACCGAACCCTTCAGAATTCCTCGTCTGAATCAGCGAATATTCCAGCGCGCGATCGCCTTAAATATTTAAATGAACTCCGGTTTTAATGCATAAATTAAAGATTTTACGAGTGGTCTTCGTGCGTGCGCAAATCGCTGGAAAAGAGTGCTTAACGAGTCACCCGAATAGATTTATGAATAAGTATAACGCGTCGTAAAACTCTAATTTCCGTTCACATTATTACTGCGACTTTTAACAACTCCGAATTCGAAGCGCGTCAATATTTGGATTGCAAATATTAACGTTTTTCGCGCAAATTCGAAGGGCTTTATTATTCCTTATACATCCTCTCTGAAAGTTATAATACACAAATTACAATTACCATTATCGACCACGAAAAATTAACTTGGTAAGTGTTGCATGCAACTCCTTTTTTCATAAATTTCCAGCTTCGATAACCGAAAGCATTAAGCAACGTGCAATTTTATTGTACATTCAACAATAACGTCATTTTAATTCATGAGCAGAGGCTAAATCACAAATACGAGGGACATTAACGAAGGACACGGGGACGATAAAAAAATGATTCCTGGCCGAAGGAGCGACACCGTTTGATCACGAGTCATGTGTCAAAGTTTCGGACAGTTCTATCTATAATGACTCTTTCATCCCATCATAAGGCTCTTATTTTTCTCCGTGTAGTTTCTCAATAATTGAGGGAAGTATACGAGTTAGAGGAGAGGCTAAGTCACAAATACAAGAGGCATTAACACTTTAACGACCGCCCTTCTATCTATCACACTATCTATCACACACATGTTGTGTGAGCGGTCGTTAAAGTGTTAACGAAGGACACGAGGACGATAAAAAAATTATTCCTGGCCGAAGGAGCGACACCGATTGATCACGAGTCATGTGTCAAAGTTTCGGACAGATCTATCTATAATGACTCTTTCATCCCATCTTAAGGCTCTTACTTTTCTCCGTGTAGTTTCTCAATAATTGATGGAAGTATACGAGTTACAGGAGAGGTTAAGTCACAAATACGAGGGACATTAACGAAGGACACGGGGACGATAAAAAAATGATTCCTGGCCGAAGGAGAGCGACACCGTTTGATCACGAGTCATGTGTCAAAGTTTCGGACAGTTCTATCTATAATGACTCTTTCATTCCATCTTAAGGCTCTTATTTTTCTCCGTGTAGTTTCTCAATAATTGATGGAAGTATACGAGTTACAGGAGAGGTTAAGACACAAATACGAGGGACATTAACGAAGGACACGGGGACGATAAAAAAATGATTCCTGGCCGAAGGAGCGACACCGTTTGATCACGAGTCATGTGTCAAAGTTTCGGACAGTTCTATCTATAATGACTCTATCATTCCATCTTAAGGCTCTTATTTTTCTCCGTGCAGTTTCTCAATAATTGATAAAAGTATACGAGTTAGAGGAGAGGCTAAGTCACAAATACAAGAGGCATTAACGAAGGACACGGGGATGATAAAAAAGTGATTCCTGGCCGAAGGAGCGACACCGTTTGATCACGAGTCATGTGTCAAAGTTTCGGACAGTTCTATCTATGACTCATTCAACCCATCTTAAGGCTCTTATTTTTCTCCGGCAGCTTCTCAATAATTGATGGAAGTATACGAGTTAGAGGAGAGGCTAAGTCACAAATACAAGAGGCATTAACGAAGGACACGGGGATGATAAAAAAGTGATTCCTGGCCGAAGGAGCGACACCGTTTGTCCAGAGACCTAAGTTAGAAGGCATTGTATGTCGGGAATGCTAATGCAGAGGGCCATTAGCATTTGCCAGCCGAAGGAGTGCCTTTAAAGGCGAGCACTATGAAAGCTGGATGTTAAAAGCCGGCGTCAGGGTTCTCGGAGAATCCGCTCGGGTATGGCCGCCTCGAGGCGGCCGATTGCCTCGCCGTATCAGGGCCGATTGCACACCGGACGTAACTCCGAATGTCTGCCGGCAAATACGGTACAATTGATATTCCGAGCAGCTAATCGAAGCGGTCCGAGGGCGACCTCGGCACCTCGAAATATTAGGAACAAGCCGGACATATTAAACCGGTTAGTTACAGGTACATGACGAATCGTAGAGGATTTCGTGATTCGGTCCCCTTTTTCTGGGGAAAATAGTAAATGATGGAAATGTGGATATGTTGAAGCATTGCAGACGGTTGATTTGGAAATTTTAGTTTTAGGCAGTATGAGAAATTTCGATTAAGTTTTATTTTAGGCGGAAAATAATATATAATAGAAATTAAACATGTGTGAAGTGGACATGTTGAAGTATTGCAGATAGTTGATTTGGAAATTTTAGAGTTTTAGGCACTAAGATAAGAAATTTCGATTTCAGGCAGAACGGTTCCCTTTTTCTGGGAGCAAATAGTAAATGATGGAAATGTGGATATGTCGAAGTATTGCAGATAGTTGATTTCAAAATTTCAGTTTTAGGCAGTATGAGAAAATTCGATTAAGTTCCATTTTAGGCGAAAAATAATATATAATAGAAATTAAATGGTCAGGATAAAGAGTTGCAAACGGTTGGTTTAGTAATTTTAGAGGTTTAGGCAGTATGATAAGAAATTTCGATTTTAGGCAGAACGCTTCCCTTTTTCTGGGGAAAATAGTAAATGATGGAAATGTGGATATGTTGAAGCATTATAGACAGTTGATTTGGAAATTTTAGTTTTAGGCAGTATGAGAAATTTCGATTAAGTTTTATTTTAGGCGGAAAATAATATATAATAGAAATTAAACATGTGTGAAGTGGACATGTTGAAGTATTGCAGATAGTTGATTTGGAAATTTTAGAGTTTTAGGCACTAAGATAAGAAATTTCGATTTCAGGCAGAACGGTTCCCTTTTTCTGGGAGCAAATAGTAAATGATGGAAATGTGGATATGTCGAAGTATTGCAGATAGTTGATTTCAAAATTTCAGTTTTAGGCAGTATGAGAAAATTCGATTAAGTTCCATTTTAGGCGAAAAATAATATATAATAGAAATTAAATGGTCATGATAAAGAGTTGGAAACGGTTGGTTTAGAAATTTTAGAGGTTTAAGTAGTATGATAAGAAATTTCGATTTTAGGCAAAACGGTTACCTTTTTCTGGGGGAGAATAGTAAGTGATAAAAATATGGATATGTGAAAGTATTGCAAACGGTTGGTTTAGAAATGTCAGAGTTTCAGGCGTGTGTCAACGTGTACATGAATGTGTTAGCATTTCCCGCGAAACTCTACCGAGTTTCCTGATTAAGTGGCCATGTTAAAGTATCACGATAGCACGTTTGATTTACAAGTTGGGGGAATATAACCAGGGAGATGGAGCACTTCGATTTCCTTTTGGGGGAAAAATAATAAGGGTCGAAACAAATCGACGTTATTAATCATTTATACCGGGTCGCGAGATATATCGTCAAAAGCGTTGATCGGCCAGTATCGGGTCGCGAGATATCTCGTCAAAAGCGTTAATCGGCCAGTATTGGGTCGCGAGATATCTCGTCCAAGGTAACGAAAGGGTTAAGTCCTGAAATCGGATAACTACGATTCCTAACAGAAGGAAATTCTTGGAGGTACCTCTGGAGAAGGTTAATTTTCTTCGTATCAACTTGAATTAAAGTGATACTCACTTTGAACCCTTTGTACCACTCCTTGATGGTAGCTTCGTCGTATCTCGTGTGTGACTTGAGGAAGTCCATGTCTTCCTTACTCAGCTTGTCCTTACTCCCGAAACAGCCCATTTTGGAAGCTTCAACTGAAAATAGAACCACAATAGCCTCATCAGTTCCTCGTTTTTAATCAGTCCCATCTTGTCATAAAATTTAAAAAAAAACCCTACTTCAAAACAACTTCATTTCAGCTTGTCCTTACTCCCGGAACAGCCCATTTTGGAATATACACAAGAGCAATACATTTTTTTTGTGCGCAATAAAGTAGCAATAAATTAGCAATAAATTCCGCAAGAAATTTTATTGAATTGTGCTAACGTGGCAATGCCAGCTTTATGGACATCATTTTGGAAGCTTCAACTAAAAAAAGAACCACAATAGCCTCATCAGTTCCTCATTTTTAACTAGTCCCATCTTGTCATAAAATTAAAAAAAAAAGAACCCTATTTCAAATCAACTTCATTTCAGAAACAGAAATCAATAGCCATTAGTTAATTCTGCTCAACAAGAATGATTTCTATCGGTGAAATTATTCCCCTGAAATGATTGTATAGAGCATCGATAGTACTTTCACAATTACATCGAGCACTGTCTAATAATTTTACTAAAAACCATTCGGTATAGAAATCGTGATATCCAATTCACCTAAAATTCCGTTTTCCATTACTTTTATTTTTGTTATTACGCAGTTTACCGATCCTATCGCGTTATACGTCCGAATGGAGATAATAAATTCGGTTTAGAACCACTTTCTCTTCGTGTTCGTTTTTTCTCCCGTCAGATATGCACTTGAGTAATGTAACCGTGCAAAACACGACTGCAACCTGACTTATGCAGTCTGTTAGGGGTATCGATTTACGTCCAGCGATTCGGAAAAAAAAAAGAAAAAAAAAGAATAATAAAAAATTCGCAACCGTGTAATCGCATTGGATGTTGAATTGCAGGAAGGACGATTGCAATGCAAATTCCGTCCTTGTACCAGTGAACGATCTCGGTCTACTCCACTTTCTCCCGATCCACCGTTGCGAATGGATCATGAGACTTTGAATTACGGACTCGAATCGTGATTTCACTGTATTAATCTGAGGCCACGAGATGAAAAAGACACGAGAATGACTCAATGTTTGAAGATGCAACCCTGGGGCGATTAAGGTTAAGTGAAACCCTTCTCAAATGAGTCGATTTGAATAAGACACTTTATTTTATGGGTATTGGATAGAAGTGTGTGAGACTTTGGCACATGACTTGTCAGCACCTAGAAAATAATTCCTGACACTTTGACCGTTGAAATATACTTTTAACATATAGTAATCTCTTCTATAATGAATGACTTTAAGAAATAGAAAAATTGGAATGCACCTTCAAATCGACATTACAATTCACCTGTCTTTTGAAGAACGTTTGTCAGCAATTTTTCTCCCTGATTAAAAACATCAAACCCCGAACTACAATTATAAACCTGAACTTGCAACGTTTTACAAAAAACGTATAAGTAGAAGTACGGAGAAAGTGATATAAAGTGCAACAATTGCAAGTATATTGCTTAATTAAAAATGTATATGTAATGATGGCTTGAGACCGAGTGTAAACTCGAAAGCTCAATTATATCAAATTTACATTACAAGTACGAAGAAAGTGATATAAAGTGCAGCAATCGCAAGTTGATTGCTTAATTAAAAATTTATATGTAATGATGGCTTGAGACCGAGTGTAAACTCGAAAGCTCAATTATATAAAATTTATATTACATACAAAGAAAGTGATATAAAGTGCAGCAATCGCAAATTTAGTACTTAATTAAAAATATATATATCTAAAGATGGCCTGAGACCGAGTGTAAACTCGAAAGCTCAATTATATCAAATTTACATTACAAGTACGAAGAAAGTGATATAAAGTGCAGCAATCGCAAGTTGATTGCTTAATTAAAAATTTATATGTAATGATGGCTTGAGACCGAGTGTAAACTCGAAAGCTCAATTATATCAAATTTACATTACAAGTACGAAGAAAGTGATATAAAGTGCAGCAATCGCAAGTTTATTGCTCAATTAAAAATATATATCTAAAGATGACCTGAGACGTGGACATTAATCGAGTGTCAACTCAAAACCTCAATTATATCAAATTAACATTACTTCTTACATTTTACGAACACCCGTTCAAAATACACGTCCTGACCATTTTTATAACATGGAATAACGAAGAAACGAAGTCAAAAATTGAGCAATACGGGAGGGGTTAGAGGTCCTGGAAAAAACGGTAAGAAATTTGACAAATGGTTGGTGGAGACAAAATAAAAAGAAAAGAGTGGCCGGTCAGACATGGTCAGGTTCTGACGTAAGAAGCAGGTGTCGGACTCGGCGCATAAAAAGGCATTCTAAAGTAGAGCGGAGCACCGAGATTCATATCAAGCAGGTCCTAGTCTTTCTATCGACCGATATAATTTCTTCCTCCACGGTGTGACATTAAGATCGAAGGGATAGAGGCGAACAATGTTAAGTACGGCTCGGTAGATGCAATCTTGGTCATCGCTGGTGCAGCCCGGCAGGTCGATATCGGTTCTTAACACGTCAGACTATTTCATTCTCTCAAGTGCGTTTCATGACTTTAAGGTGATATAAAAGACGCCGAGAAATTTAATCCAGGTCGATAAATTAAAATTCAGCTATACCCTTTCTGGCGGTAACGTCATTTTGAATACTCAAGTGGTAGCATAAACTGGCGCATCACGTTATCGACATTTATATTTATGTCGAAGTCTTTTACAGTCCACGTTGATAATTGTACGAACTGAAGCATGCCATACGTCATTTCAAATGTTGCAATTGATCGCAACGGGAAATGTACAAATTGTCCAAAAGCGACAGATTTGTATCGAAAAAAAGTCTGCAAGGATACAGAAATGTTAAGGGTTTTTTAGGAAAAGAAAATACCGTGATCATGAAACGAGATTTGACTAATTATATTGGAAAATATATTTGCTTATGTACGGGTTTAGAAATGTTTTACTCTGCTGACAGAAAGTCGGATGAAAATATAAAATATGATTGGATGAAGAAAATGTTGCAATTTATCGCAACGGGAATTGTACAAATTGTGCAAAAGCGACAGATTTGTATCGAAAAAAGGTTTGCAAGGATACAGGAATGTTAAGTGTTTTTTAGGAAATGAAAATAGAAAAATTAAGTGTGTCGGCATTATTAGAAAGTGATGACGACCTTTTAGACGATAACTTATCCCATTCGCGCAGGTTTGCAGACAAAGTCGCAACTTCCGCACAATTTTCAAGTAATCTGCCGGGAGAAAAAAACGACAGATTTTGTCGGAAGCATGTAACACAAGGCGAAGAACTTTGGTTTTTTCGTTATTAAAAAACTTCTTTCCGCTGCAGTGGCCCCTTTTAAGTGCGCCTTTAGAAACCGCTGAATGCGGATTTTACTGGCATTTCCTTGCTTACCAGACCAACGAACATCGTGTACTGAATGCTTCGTAAAAGTAATTAATTATCGCACAGTATCAATTAACGTGGACACCTGGTTTGCGTTATCTAAGAACGTTCAGGAAAGAGTGACGTAAAAAAATGATTAATCCATGCAAATAGTAGTAGTTTTTAATTAATTCATACGAAGACAAAGTTTTTGATTCGCATCGAGAAATAACGTACATTGATTTCAATTCATTGAATTTCATTGATACACTAATTTCAATTCATTGAATTTTATTGATACACTGATTTCAATTCATTGAATTTCATTGATACACTAATTTCAATTCATTGAATTTCATTGATACACTGATTTCAATTCAATGAATCGGAATCAAGGTACGTTACGATCAGAATCAATTAACGAACGAAATCAATCGAAACAAATCAATGTACATTGATTGATTGATTTCAATTCATTGAAATCAATGTACGGTATTTCTCGATGCGAATTTCAATGTACAAGTTAAATAACTTGTGCATTATTGCAACTTGTACATTATTGTAACTTGTACAACTTGTACATTATTGTAACTTGTACAACTTGTACAAGTTAAATATTTTAGGTACATTGAACATCTGTCCTGCATATCGTCATCGAATCTGTTACGAAACAATTTCAGTCTCAAACTATTCTTTTTAATTTGTTTATAAATAAATGCATGTTATGAGATCCAACGACATTTTCATGAATTAGCACGTTTACACGATTTATGTACAATGAATTGGCCACGATATAACCCAATAAAGATAGTCGGGATATATCCATATACCACCTACATCCATTCTTTTCAATCGATATATAAATGTTTATTGGCAAAAAGGAAAAAATACGTATCTCCTCATTTTTCGTGAGCAATCACACGGCCTAAGTGGAACTTAAGTAGGAGTGCTTGCTTAATAGATATAAGAAAAAAATTTCGCCTGAAGGGTAGTTCACCCCCTTGAGGTGGTGTAGCATTCATGGACAACATTTATACCAAGTTTCGTCGAAATTCCTCATCTGCTTCTACGAAAATTAATATAATAATCGAATTTTCGCCAAACTTTGGGGGGTTGTTGCACCCCTTAAATGTGGACCATTGCAGATAAGAAAAAACACGTCTCTCTTAGATTTTTATGTTCTTCAACATGTATAAAAATCAATAAGATCGGCGGCGAACAATTGGGAATGTTTCCTTGTAAGTATATCGAGAGGGAGCAGGTGGGGCGGAGCAGAACAAATGTTTATTCTAGGTTAGGAAAGTCGATCGCGGAGGCGCTACCTTTCACCTCGAATTCGGACTTCGTGCGAACACTTCGAAAACGTTTCCAACGGAGACTAGCTTCGAGGGCAGAGACTTTAAATAGGAAAGAGGAAATTCATCACTTAGTCGATTCCCTGTAAAATATACAGCCCGGTGAAACTTCGTAAAAAGACCGGAAAATACGGACGATTCGCTCCTTCAGATACTTACCTCGATGTAATGAAATTCTTCGCGAGATTTATTTACCATGGCCTATCACCGGGATTTATTGCTATATTGCAATAAATGCATAATAAAATAATAATATAATGATATAACATAATTATGCATATTGCATAAATAAAAACGGT